AAAAATAAAAATAAATAAAAATAAAAATAAAATTTAAAAAAAAGTACCATTTTACTGATGCTATTAGACTGGTAATTGCTTGAAGTGAGATTTAATTTTTTATTTTCATTCTGTATTATATTAGTAATGCAGCATTAAAGAAAAAAAATTCCAGTAAATTGAATGGAATGTTCAAATAAATAAATGATAAAAATGGAGACAGCCTAAAAGTTCAACACTAAAAGATTAAGTAACGTTATTTATTTAATGTCACTTCAAAACAACAAAATACAGTGCAGGTACTAAAAATAGAATATTTACAACATAGAATTTATTTAACAATATGTCTATATTCTATATTTACATTATGTTTTTTAAAAATCACATTACAAAACAATATGTACAAAACGTTAAAAATTTTGTTGAAACATAATACATCTAAATGTTACAGTATTAATCTGAGTAGTGGGATTAGAAGTGATTTATATTTTCTACTTTATAATTTCTTAAGTTCCTAGAATTCTATCAAAAAACATAAGATTCCTTGGAACCGTTATACATTGCTGATAGGAATGTAAAATGGTGCAGCCACTATGGAAAACAGCATGGCAATTCCTCAAAAAATTAACCATAGAAATACCATGTGATCCAGCAATTCTACTTCTAGGTATACACCCAAAAGAATCGAAAGCAGGGACTCAAATAGTTATTTGTTCACTACTGTTCACAGCCGCATTATTCACAATAGCCAAAAGGTGAAACAACCCAGATGTCCACTGACAGACAAACAGATAAACAAAAGGTGGTATATACATACAATGGGATATTATTAAGCCTTAAAAAGATACATGTTACAAAATGGATGAACCTCAAAAACATCATGCTAAGTGAAATAAGCCAGACACAAAAGGACAAATATTGTATGATTCCACTTATATGAGGTACCTAGAATAGTCATATTCATAGAGACAGAAAGCAGTATAGTGTTACCAGGGGTTTCAGGGAAGGTGGTAATAGGGAGTTATTGTTTAATGGGTACAGATTTCAGTTTGGAATGATGAAAAAGTTCTGGAGATAGATATTGGTGATGGTTGCACAACAATGTGAAGCACTTAATACCACTGAATTGTACACTTAAAAACAGTTAAAATGGTAAATTTTGTTAAGTATATTTTACCACAATAAAAAAAAATCTGAAAAAACATCATTTCTATAATCAGAATTTTTAAAACAAATATTTTTTTAAATTTATTTTTATTTATTCATTTTTATTAGGACTCTTTTTTAGGGCAGTTTAAGGTTCACAGCAAAACTGAAGGACAAGTACAGAGAAAATCAAATATTTTTTTCAAAGAACATGCAATTACAAACAGAACAGAATGAACCACAAAATGTAATCATTTCCACTAACCTGAAACGGATGCCATTCTAAAATTGAATTGGAGATCCAAATTTCTCTCTAAAAATGGAAAAAAAAAAACAACAACAATTTTTTAAAAGTAGTGCTATTGATAATGCTCAATCAATGATAATTTCTCACTACTAAGTACAGAATATGTTAAAAAGTAAATTATATATTGCAGTGACCTTTCAATAAGGACTACTGATTCTTCCCAGGCTAATTTTTATGGAAAATCCTCTAGATTTCAGAGACGTGTCCAAAGTCACAGAAACATATAATAACAAGCACAACAGCAATAACACCAAATATCCAGCAGATACACAGTGATGTAGCAAAACAGTGAAACTTTGAGGTTATCAGTTTTAGCCCTAACTTACTGTGTGCTCTTAGCAAAGTTAACTTGTCCCTCTCAGCCTCTTTCCCTATCTGTAAAATTGGGATAAGAGAATCTATCTTATAAATAACAAGTTAGATAGATTCAAATGTCCCAAATTAAGCAAAATCCATCAATATAAATACTCAAACTAATCATTTAGCATTTTACTGATACTTGCTTTAAAGCGTCACAATTTAGACTCAATCTTAAAAGAGGAATTGATATTCTATGGAGGAGCTAGATTTCAAAAGGAGAGAATATGAAAAGGTCAGAAGTGGGAAAAAAACATGGTTTGTATTAAGGAACTCTCAATACCTATGAATGATTAAAAGTTAAGAGTATATATATATGAGCAAGCGGAACGAGATGAGGCTTGAGGGGAGGAACTTTAGATTGCTCATAATCCTCATGAACATGTCCTCCAACTCTGATATGGACAATCAACATTCTCTAAAACTAACTTAGAATGTTCTCCAAAGGTAGCTTCAGCATCAACCTACCCTTACCCAGACTGCTGATCTTATGCTGTTCCTAATGTAGAATTCTGAAGCCACCACTAGACTGGAAAAATAGGCAGGGTCTTCTTTGCTTTGCTAAGGAGTTTGGAATAGCCACACCACTAAAAGATATTCAAGTAGGGGAGTAAAACAAGGACTTCCAATTCTTTTTCTATATAAACATATCTTTACCACTTTGTGCAAATATAATTCTCCTTCTCTAGACTATAAGGTTCTCCGGGAGGGCAGAGGTTGAGTCTCTTCCCCTTCGTGTTCACACAGCCTAGCAAAGTGCCCTACATATAGTGCAGGCTCAGGTCTGCTGAGATTCAAAGCAGTGGCTATCTAGACTTATGAAAGAACATAATCTATAACCATTTTTCCCCACTATTTTAAATGACTCCTTTGATTATACGTTAAAAAACTGCTCATACACTCTTTTCCCAAATGCTGTGACTTAACAACAAAAGATATCTCAATACAAAATATGTTCAGAAATTAATGAGCTATAGCAGGTCTGTGAGTCAGAAGTATAAGCTGGCACTATTAAAATCAAAAACAAACGGTGACCAGATTTGAAAATTCCCTGAGCAGACAAAACCATTTTTACAAAGTTTAATTTGGCTTATTTTGCAAGATTAACTTGACCTGGGTCATTTCTTGCTTATGCCTCTGGAAATCATAAGCAAAACTTAAACTGTTTCTCAAGGTTGATATGAGATAACCACCAACCAATTCCTTATCATTTAAGAAAATGTTAATATTTTAACCAATCACTGTGAAGAATAAAGTCACTGCCTTCTCACTACATAAACTGCTTTATAACAATATACCCCTGAGCCTCTTTCCATGTTTTGATTTGAGTGCTCCCAGTTTGCGAACTTTTTGGTGTGTGCACAACTACTACTTCGATGATTCATTGATTTTACGCCTGCTATTTTAAACTTTCGACAGCACCCAGAGGAAACATTTTAGGCGGTCACAGCCAGTCATCGATGCTGGAGGAAACGCCACTGAGGTACCACAGACTAAATCGGACACACATCTCCCTCTCCCGCCACCCGCGTTTAGAGGCAACAGCAATTTAATAATACCCTCTCTTAAGCTTACACGTCCCCAGTGTTGTTTCCCGATAAACGGTGGCTGCCAAACCTTAGTGAGCAAGCTTCCTGCATGGAAAAGGCTGAGATAAAAAGAGAACGGTCGGCAGTCGAACGTGTCCCTAAAGGCCCGAGATGCACTAGAGCTGGGCGATGATTAACGCTCGTTTCTCCCTGCCAATGTACTGGTGGAAGGAAATGATCTGCGATAGACCGGCCTCGCCCGCAGGCAGGAATAAGAAAAATTAGCCCTTTCAAAGCGGTTAACAGGAATTACCCCCCAGAACCTCTCTCCAAAGGGGTTAAAGAACCCCCAGTCGCCTCCATCTCCCCGGTCTCTGACCCTAAAGCGCTTCGGACTCAGGACCGCTACTCACCTCTTTCAGCCGCTGTCCAATGAAAACTTCCCGCCACCAGGCTTTCCTTTCTTTCCAGCCGAGAGCATCCACCCTTCCGGGTCGGTCCGTTCAACCAATTGCAAGTAACACCCGTCTCTAATTGGTCAAGGGTGTGGCCACCCTGCGCGTCACCGAACAAGACTACGGGGGACTGGTTGATATTGGGAGCTGGTTTAGCCAATGGGAAGCGGTCTTGAACCTGGGGTGGGGGAGGCTGCGTGTTTCCGGAAGACGTGGCGGCTCTCGTCTGGGCTGCTTCCCGGCTTCGTTTCTCCCGACTTTGCTTGCCACCCTGGGCGCCGCGAAGTGCTGTCGCCGCTGTCCTCACCACTGCAGCCATGATCTCCTTAACGGACACCCAGAGTAAGCACCTGCCCCGGGGCCCCGCCTCGAGTCCCCACACCCCTGGGTCTCGCCCGTCCGCCCCTCCGCCTCTCCGCCCCGGGCAATGAATGAAGCTCCGCGTTGGGGGCGGCGGCCTGGGAGACTGAGCTAGGGCTGCGGGGACCTGGAGGGCTACCTTGAGGCAGTGGGAGCTGAGCAGACCTGGCCTGGGAGGAGAGTCAGTGGGGTCTGGGGAGACGCCCAAGCTGGGGGCGGGGGGAGCTTTCGCTGAGAGTTTGTGTACACCAGGGTCGCGCCGCTGGTTCCCGGTGAGCTGGGAGCTTTGTTCCTGCGGACAGCCACAAGAGAAAATTTGATGCCGGGGCCCGCGGCCCAATCTAGGGGACGTTTCTGCACATGACATCCATGGGGTCCTCTACAAGTTACTGGCTGCTTGTTTGGGAGGCGGTATTTTACATGTCACCTATTGAAGGCTCTTTTTGAAAATATGCTTACATTTAACTGTTTTGAATATTCTCCTCTTGCCACCACTGGAAGCAGCCTTCCGAAAACACCTTCAAACAACTTCACTTTTCTACCAGCTAATGTTTCCACAATAGTAAAAAGCCACTTTGAGTTCAGTTAAACACTTTCTTTCGTTAATATTGTATACTGTGCTTTCTGGCTTGTCTTATTATTTTAGCATCGTTTTCTGCCTGCCACAGAGTTCTCCAAGCCTATCTTATCTCTAAGATTAACATTGCTGTTTCCTTTTCTTTCACTATAACCTTTCCACTTTTCTATCCCTTTTTTCCAATCTTAATTTTTCGTTTACATATCTGCCCAAGTCTGTGCTTCCTCTCTTTTGATGGTCTTGATAGTCTTTTTGCCTCAACTTTGCTTTATCTGCCACGCCTTTGGTTTCTTATTGTGGCTATCTTACTTGGATTTTCAAGATTTTAAGAATTAAACAGTCTATTGAAACGAAAATAGAATTTCATTGCAAGTGCCCTATTTTAAAGTGGAATCTTAAGGTTTGGATTCAAGTCATGGCTGATTTGAACTTGGGAGAGCTTCTAAGGTCTTCCACACACACTGCCATCTCAGTCAGACAGGCTCCCTTCCTTCATGAGGTTGGACTGGGTCTGCAACCTGTGGCCACCTGCCCTGGCCCAGGAAGGGTGCCAGTTTTGGTCTATTGGCCTCGCCTCTTCTGATCAGAGAAAATAATAAGTATAGTCCTTTTTTTGTTTGTTTAAGCAGTTGCATAAAGGCATCTTCTTTCAGTTTACCATGTGCTTTCATATAAATCGTTATGCTTAATTCTTATAAGAGCCCTGTAAGGCAGAGAGGAGTATCTCTCTCTTATAATTAAACGAGACTCAAAAGAATTTCAGGGTATGGTCATAAGGAAAGTGACAGAAACAAGACTTGACTCCAGGTCTGCTGACTCAGAAACCTTTGTTCTTTTCACTGTACCCTACTAGCATCTAAGAAGACTTGATATAAACTTTATTTGGATCTACCTTAGAATGATGAAATTCTTCCACAGCAAAAAATAGTTTCAATAGTAGACAGATATTCATCCTATAGAATTATACATTTTTTTGAGAGACAGAGAGATTGTGTAGGATATTCAGAGCCTGTTTTCTTTATGATGCACAGTACTCTGTTGCTGTTGATTGAAACTCAAAATTAAAATTAGGCTGTCCAAGGAAATTAGCATAATTTAATCTCTACGTAGTTTTCCTGTCTAACTAAAGTATTACTGCGACTCATATCTATCTGAGTCTGTGATTATTATGTAGATAAAATTATTTGAATTCTTTATCCTGTGCACAGAGGTTCTCATCTGTTGAAGACTTTTTATAGGGACAAGTGCCTGATTTACATCCTTCCAAAAACCAGAACAAGGGGATTGGGTAGGAATATGGGCAGAATAGGAAGCGTTCTTCTCACTTCATTAAATTGATGAGGAAGATGAAATTATACTCCTTACTCCTCATTTGCCAAATGTTTTAGGTAGCACAGTGGATTGGGACACAAAATGATTAGGGAGCCAAAAGCTCTTTGGATTTCAGATGCTGTTTATGTGTGTGTTTAACTGCAGCAATTGGCCATCATTCAAGTGATTTGCCAGAATTATTCTGGGGTTCTGATTCTGGGAGAGGGTGACCAAGCACTGGTCAGAGTAGAGTAAATAGCAGCTGGCAGTTGTGTTAAGGGATTCTATAATAGCATTCCACCTCCCCCCATCCCCCCAAAAAACCTGGAAAATTGAGTGAGGGGGATGGAGTAGGGCAGTTCCCGTGCAGCCTCTAAATCTTTACTTCATTGTGTCACACCTGAAATTCTACCACGATATTCAGCTGAGTTCAATTCAATTGATATTCAGTTGAGTTCTTTATTATGAAATTTTCTGTTTTGTAAAGGGCATAGTAAGAAAGACAATGCTGCTTTAAAATATTCTAAATAAGATAGCAAAATGCTAACAGTGATTGCCATTGGATTAAGCATATCTTTCCTTATGAAACTTCTGCAATGAACTTTTTATTTTAGACAAATTGATTTTATTAGATTGCTTTTACCAAATTTTTCTTTAAAAATGCACACACACACAGGCAAGAGGAATGAAAGTTTGCTAGTGCACAAAAGGAAGATAAATCCGTTTTACTCGGTATGATTCTGGTGGTGAGAGGGCAGCTCTGTGTAGGGCTTTAATAACCAGAAGGTTTATGAATGCGTAGGCGTAGAGAAGAAGGGAATTCTGGAGATGAGAAAAGGGCACAATGAGGTCAGTTTGAGACTTTTGGCCCATTCAGATCAGGGAATACTTGGCAACATCACGCCAGTGTCAGTTTTGGCAAAGATGGTACAGGCAACTGTCTCCTGCTGGACTACACTGGATAAAGTAGTAGGAATGTTTTGGTTCCCATGTTAAAGTTGTAAGCTGTGGAGTCTGAAGACTGGATTTGAAGTCTAGCCTGACTCCGCTCCCCAACCCCCACCCCCAGACACATACACATTTGCTGATTCTGTGATCAAGGGTAAGTTACTAATCTCTCTGAGAATTTGATTGCCCATATGAAACATAGGGCTGGTGCTACTTTTTACCTCACAATTTTGTTCAAGTAATTACGACATATTTTTATAAACATTTCATTAAACATAAAACCATATTCAGACATTGTCCTTTTTCACTGCAGTCAAACTTTAATGGTTCTATGACATTTGCTTAGTTATATTAGATAACAAGCTAATCACATTAAACTTGAGTCACCTAAAGACACTTCCCCTAGAAGTTCACTATACTCCGATGCCCTTGAGTTTCATTTAACCAAACATATTGAACCTGAAAAAAAAATCCTGTGGGAAGCAGTATGGCACACGGACTTTGGCTTCAAATAGACCTGAGTTCAAATGCTTAACCAGACGTGTGACTTGAAGCAAATTAAATCAACTCTCTAAACCTCAGTTTCCTCCATCTCTAAAATGATGTAGTGATACCTACCTTGCAGCAGTATTGGAAGGATATATAAGTTATATAAGATATGTAAAGCACCTTGTAATAGCTAATTCATGATAAATTCTCAATACATAATAGGTGTATTTCCATATAATTTTCTTTCTGTTGAGCAAATAGCTCAAAGTTTTTATGTAATCATTAGGATAATTTGTGAAAAGATAGAAATTAGTCATATTCAAATAACTGAGCTGCCAATGATAAAACCCTAGCTACTAAATAGTTACTTAATGGAATTTTACTTGCTCTTTTGTCCATATTTTCCTCTAGGAAATTATGTTTCACATCTAAACAGTTATTTTGGTAAATTCTCTTAAGGCATTTAAGCATGAAAGTATCAGCCTCAAATTTTCATGGGAATTTGGGTCTCTGGAATATACTTACCAGTATATTTGTAGACAGGTACCTGGATTCTTTTAGACTCACTTTGGGAGAAAAAGGTAGCTGGAATGGAATGCAGTAGTTAACTGTAAATTGAGGAGGTGGAGGATGTAGAAAAAAGTATATGATATAAATTTTCAACTCATCAAACATTTTACATGGCTTAAAATTTTTTTAAATGGCAGTGACCTAGATTTTAGCTTTCTGGAACCAAGGCAAAAGAGTTAAGTAACAGATTAGAAATCACTAATAGTGTCTTTAAAATTGTGTTTCCAAAAATACGATGGTTTCTGCTCTGATTCATTAATGCAGATAGTGTTTCTAGGTAAAAATAAGGATTGGTGACTATGTCCTGAAAAAAAGCAGAAATGATCAAGGAGGTGATTTAGTGAATTGTGCTTTGTAGCATTAACAGAAAAGTATTAACTGTAACCTTAGAAAGTTAAGACTCTTCAGACTAAAAAGATAAGTCCTAGAGAATACAAAGGCAGTAAAATTATTAGTTTTATATATCGAGTGAACATAGTATTGAAAGTTTACACTTTGTCCAAGACTATATACTCACTACCTAGAACAGTTTCTAGCATCTAGGATTTGATCAACAATTCTTTGTTTTTGAATGAAAGAGTAAAAACCCAAAATATTAATATTAGGGAAAATAGTATTCTTTGAAACTTTGGAGAAGTGATTCTAGGAATCTTAGACTAAATATGGATTCATAGTTCAGATAAATTTTTAGAAGATAAATCTATAATAAGCCATCAAGAAGGTAAAAGTGATGCCTAACCTTCTGGAAATTAACTTTTGAGGAGACAGCTACCTGATTCTCAAAGTTATTTCCTGTTGCCATTGTGAGAAGCAGTGTATAATTGAATG